GACAGTCGAATAATAAAATTGGGCATAAAAAATCTTGACACCGTTTAAATATTTTTAATCAAACAAAAAATAGAATATGGATTATACCCTGTCTAATCTCCAGTTGATCTAAAACTGGCTGTATGTTTAAAGAAAGGAAACTACAGCGTTTTTTTTAATTAATTTACATAAGGGTGTACATGCTATTATGCGTTTATCAAAATCAAGGATCAAATCATCTAACCTCTATTCATATATATTAGTCACGCGTGGCACAGAATCAGACCTCTTCACTAATTAGTGTTTCGAAATGATTTACCAGTTCACACTTTTTTATCATAGAAATCGCTCATCATTTTACTCACAGACTGTCTCAGTTGCTTGTAGCTTGTCGTATTTGTTTTCAGCTTGCAACAATAGATCTAGAAGTAAAACCATTAAGGGCGGCGAGTTTTGCAATTTCTTTTTCGGTTGATTTAGGAATGAAAAATGATGTTATTTGTCTTTCAACTGCTTCACCTTCACTGTTCGAGTCAAAATCCGTAATCATATGCACGCCTTTTAATTAAACAAACAACCCAGTTGTTGAACCGCCACAACACTTTAGCATTTGATTTTGCATTTTAAGCTCCCGGTTTCGTCATTACCTTTCCGAGTAAAATAATTCCAAACACTTGATTTTTTCGACATTGTATGTAAGGGACTAAAATGCTAATTATTTTAAAAGAAAATAATATCTTTCAAAAATTAAAATTGTGTCGCTTGTTGCTGGAGACCAGTCAGATGAATAAAGAATAGTGTGTATCACACAGGAACCGGACGTTACTGTACGCCGCGCAGTCTCAGCTGTCAGTAGAGTCAAAACGTTTTTATTCGTCTGAAACACTTCTTCTTTAAATCTCCGATGACAGAAAACTGTATTTGACATGAACTTTTTTTTTTAAATTCGCTTAATTGTAGCTTTAATTTTTAATATTTAATAAACTCTAAGGACAAATACTGGAATGTTTATATCTATCTATCTATCTATCTATCTATCTATCTATCTATCTTATTTTCATTGAATATTATAGAAATATTGTGTCTATTTTTATATTGTTCCTTTCCATCAAATCAAAATCAAATTAATTTCTCGATGTTGAAATGAAATTCATCAAGGAACGTGCCGTAGTTTATTGTGTTTTTTTGACACAAGTACTTTCGATCTTTTCCAAGATCATCTTCAGGGGTAAATTACAAAGAAAACCTTATTGTATCTGTGATAAAATCTGCATTCCGTTGTGATGGTGATTTTTAAAAACACGAGACAACGCGCTTTGTAATTATTTCAAATTTTTAAATTTGTTCATTGTAGTTATGGAGTTTTGCAAAACAAACGTTTCAATATAAGGGAGCTGACCGGAAATTGGTAGAAATGTAAAATGGCGTTAATGTTATATGCATTTTAATATGTTGTTGGTATATTCGGAATAAATTTTGTTGAGTGTTGGTTGATTTTGATATAGAAGGACCTCGAGAATGTTTTGTTTATAATTTTCGTTTCGTTAATAAGTATTTTCCTGTATTGTGAGGCTGGAACGGCGTATCTTTTTAGATGTTTTGCAATAGAACTTGTATCCCACAAATGAAGTATAAGACTACATGAAAATGTTGTGGTCAGAAGATGATCTTGGAAAAGATTGAAAGTACTTAGGTTAACAAAAAATACGGTGCCTTCCTTGATGAATTTCATCTTAACAACAAGAAACTGATTAGACAACAGGAAATGATCAGTATAAAAATATGTAGACACAATATTTTTATATTAGTCAATCAAATGTGTTTGCATTAAGATATGCTGCCTAAATACACACACAAACAAGCACACACACACACACACACACACACACACACACACACATATATATATATATATATATATATATATATATATATATATATATATATATATATATATATATATATACAAATGTATAGGATCAAAACTTAAAACACGCACAAAATCTTGTACGTACGTAAGTATATTTATTTCAAAAGGTATTATAAACACAGTGCTCAATGTCATGAAACAGAGTCATAAATATATATTAGTGAATATACATAATGAATCGCTTTTTCATGCACTTAATGCAAGCTTCAGATATATACATACATATATATATATATATATATATATATATATATATATATATATATATATATATATATATATATAGGACCATATATATATATATATATATATATATATATATATATATATATATATATGACACCAATGTCATAAAGACATACATAGGATTATCCGCCGGAAATTGGAAACAAAAGCTATACACACACCGACATTCCTTCTCAAATGTTAACCTTAGAAACCAAACCGCTCTATCCAAACATTATTGGAAAATTAAGTATAATGACCTCATCCCAATAGCAAAATGGATATCATCTCTCGGTTCAGGACCTCTAACAACTTCCGGGACAGATGTGATCTGTGTATACTTTAAAAGTCGCAATAATCAGGAACACAAATACTATTTAATCAGTAAAGCAAAAAAAAAACAAAAAAAAAACGAGCTTATCTCCAAATGTAGGCAAAAATCAAACTTAAAATCCCGTAAAAACGCTTACCGCATAAATTCATGTTTCAGGAAACCGACTACTACCAACCACGAATCCCTGATCCCTATCTTTAGTTAACCCTTCTCTCTCACATTTTCTCCCCACTACCAATCTAAAGTGTCCGTCCGGTGTACTTTTTCTATTTGCGGAGAAGTTTTCGTTCTGATGACCTGAATATTTCGGTGTTCACGAAATAAAAGTTAGAAACCAAATGTATCATTAAAGTCTTCTTCTTCTTCTTCTTCTTCTTCTTCTTCTTCTTCTTCTTCTTCTCTCTCTCTCTCTATATATATATATATATATATATATATATATATATATATATATATATATATATATAATATTTTGTTTATAACTAATATTTACTATTTTCTATTTTAATTTTTTAAAAATTGTTTGAACTCTTATCGTTAACATTGTGATTCATTTTCAATCAGACTTGGGATGTTAATATTTGAAAATATCGGTCAAGATTATAATAACGTTCTCTATTTTAAGCCAGTCACTCCCCCCCCACATGATACTAGGGGTTGGGTTAACTTAATGTCTATATTTTTTAATCGTCTCTTCCTGCTTCCTTTCTTTCCTGTTTTCTCTCCATTTTCCTTTTTCTTTTCTTTTTCCCTGAATTCATATATATATATATATATATATATATATATATATATATATATATATATATATATATATGTGTGTGTGTTTGTGTGTGACTGTCTGTCTGTCTGTGTGTGTTTATATGTGCGTTGTATAATACACAGGGAAATATAAGCATGTCGGCCCATTTCGAATACCGATATAGGTATTTCAATATTAGTCCTCGACGCTAACGATTGCCCGATTTCAATTTGTGGGCAACTTTTCTTATTACCCGTGAACAGCAAAATTTGACATCCAATAAGAAAGACTTTCGGCTAATAATATTAAACTTTTCTAAGCTGACTGCAAAAGAGAAATTTACAGTTCAATTTACAAACAAGTGTGGGGTCTGAGTCGAGCATATTTTGATAATAATTTGTCTCTTAAGAAGTGAAAAACTTGTCATGACAATATTGATAAAAGAAGATATTAATAATTGTTGCATGAAATTTAGATATCCTTGAAATTATGAATACTTCGTTTTGTCGAATAGTATCTTATCACATAATTCTATAATGAAATTTGCTCATTTGCGAGATGTGTTTCGGCTAGCGCTAGAGTGTTGGATGTACGGATGGTGTAGTGGATAGAAGCTCGGTCTGAGAGCAGTGTTCGACTACGAGTTGGTTATATTCATTTAGAAGATTGATGGTTTTTTATGAATTATCAACCTTTTGTAACTTATTAAAAGCCAGCAAATATATTTTTTTTAAGATTGTAAGATTTTCTTTAGATAATAATGATTTAGTGACACAAGATTTACTAATTAACTGATATCTGGGAGGGGGAAAAAAGTTGAATTCCTACCATTCCCAAATGTATTTGCGCGTAGGTGAATATAACGAACTCAGCTGGAATTGAAATTCGGCTTTCCGATTAACAATTGCGAGCCATTATTAATCGCACCACCCCCACATCCAAGTTTATGGATAATGACATGGTTTGATGTCTCTTAACTTCGTTGGTCGTACTAGAAACAGTGTTTCAACGTAATATAGCCGTATGCCTTCGCTTATTGCAAATACCATTGAGAAAGGTATGCATTCGCCTCTTCTCCTTCCAGCTATGGGTTAAATAATAATATTTGTGTCTGGAAATAATTATTACCCCCCAAAAATTATTCTTATGTTCAAAATATGTTTCTGTTTTAAATAACCTAAAAAAAAACAAATCAATCAATCAATCAATCAATCAATAATTAAATTGTCTTCCTAAAGAAATAAGTGAATCATTATTTTATGGGAATCAGTATTTAATGGGAGATTATTAATTGTTCTATTTCTTGTTTTATTATTTTCAGTGCTGAACAATCCCGCGCTTCGTAATAAAATATTATAAAAAAAAAAAAAATTAATACTCAACTCCTGCTAATCAGGAATTTATAGCAATAGAAGTAAAGCTAACTTTAAATTTTAAAAGGAATTGGAGTCTAGCTTATTACAAAGTAATGTGCCTTGTTAACTCTTTTGCTAATAGTTATAATATAATTTTCTAAAAATATGAAGTTACGTCTAATTGACCTTTAAACGAATAAATAATAAATGAGAAGGGAAAGAAAGAAAAATTATGTTGAGCAGGTGAAGTAAAGTAAGATGAACGTGTGAAGGGTATTTAGATATTAATGGTAGAAACGTAAAGGATGTTTAGAAAAAGAGATAAAAGGAAAAGAAATGATACAAAAACTCGAAGAAATTTAAAAAAAGGGGGGAGTATTAATTTGCGAGTTTAAAGAAAACTGTCTTCCATAACCATCCCGTTGGGTATGTTAATCACGTTTCAATGGGAAGTAGTTGCGAGAGAAAGCGAGAAAGACGTTTATCAATGGACGGGATGACAGCGAAATCATCAAACCGCATCTCGAGATGGATCACAGTTCGAGGCAAGTAAATGAGATACAAGTCTTTTCGCGCCAAAATCATTACAAGACGCGGCGAAACAATGACAACAAGTCTTGATCGATCGGACCACTGGGAGATCTTTTTCCGAAGATTAGGGCGTATCGAATTGATTTTGTCTTTATCAGTGTACTAATCGTCCTTACCTCACGACCAACCCGCCGTAAAATGGTGTGTGATTTTTGTGTGTTTATATTTGAAAGTATTACGGCTGGCCAGTCGGTTGGTCGCGTCTAGTTCTGTTTGTGTCAAGAAGTACATGGGTGAGGAGAGAAAAGTCGGGATGATTAACCGAGAAGGATATTTACGTTGAAGGTAAATTAGAAAGAAAGAGAACAACTTATTGTCTGGATGCACGTCTAGATAATAAACGGATCAGATAGATAATAGACATAGCTAGATAGGTAGATAGACACACACACACACACACACATATATTGTCATCCACAGACAGACTGTTTCGCTGTATCACAGCTCATCAGTGTGGCTAGACATCCAGTTGTCTCTAGCTAGGATCGAAACCCGATTGAATTGGCGTCAGTCGGGGTTCTACCACTAAGCTGCTGGTGCACGGCAGGGATGAAGGTGAATTTTAAGTGTATTTATTTTTAGATAAACACCCAGTGACTGAGAGAACTCAATTCGATTTACCGAAGAGTCTTGCATTATTAGCCATAATAGTCACTGTTTACAAACTCACATTTCCTCCCCAGAGAGCTAGATAGATACTAAATGTGAGCTAGATTGATAGAATTCAAGAGACTGAAACAGATAAATAGTCACACCCATAAACTCAGAGACAGTTTACCAGCCGATATATATATATATATATATATATATATATATATATATATATATATATATATATATATATATATATATATCTTAGGCCGCAAACTAAGCAGAATTTTAACTCTTCTTCTCGGCAATTATTAGTCCATTACACATAAAATATTTAGTTGGCCGCCTAAACAAATTAAAAATATATAGACATTAAATGTATGGCTAGTTTAGATATAAAATTTCTATAAACAAACATTTAATGCGTAAATTTACTAAGAACACCTAAAAAAAGCAAAAATTAAATTACCTCTACCTACACATAAAATCATAAAAAATATGCCAGCTAATCAGCATGTTTATTTACATTTGATAACCAATATATATATATATATATATATATATATATATATATATATATATATATATATATACCCAAGGACTTGTACCCACAGAAATAAAACACAGATTTGAAAATAAACTTTATTTCTTTTTGTTTTACCTTTAGGATTCTTTCGACCAACGCTTTTTCCAAAAGTTATTCTTTTTGCGATATAAAACACAATCAAGACACATTAATAATCTCCAAGAAATCACAGGGTAGTTTTCAAATATGAAGAATTCTTAAATGTATGTTTTATTGTCAGGTTGTTTCGACTTTCGTTGTGGAGCGGTCACTTCTAAATTTGCATGATGGTCACTTGGTTGTTCTTCTCGCAGGGAGACATGTATATTTTGACCTTTAATCAACTGAAACTCTTTAAGCAGTCAATCAATTGGGTTGCATTGGTGATTTTCTTTGAGTACACCTCCATTAGCATAATCCAGAAAAAGAAACCAATTCTCTCTTCTTTCGACAAAACCATGTTCGATCTATGGTAGTATGTTTGGTTTTACGGCATATCAACACCTCAATGGGTTATTTAATGCCGACAAAATTTTTATTGTTTGTAATGTTTTTCTTCAAAAATCTATTTCTGGGAATAATTTTCCATGAAGAAAACTATAGCTGGTCATACTTTTTTTCAAATAATGTATAGCTGTTTGTAATGCTGGTATTTTTTAAAAAAATATTGCTGATAATAATGTTTCCTTCAAAAATTCTGGCTGGTAATAATTTTTTTATTACAAAGTATTTCTTGTATTAAAACCTATTTTTACACAAGTTTGGGTGTTAACTATTTGCCCATAGCTGGGACCCTAACAGGTGCTACCACCCAGGGTCAGGGTGAACCTGTGAACACCAGCAATTAAGATGTGGTTCCACGCTCCTCAAAACCTCCTGATCAGAGGCCTTGCTGCTTGATGTAGTTTATCGTCTTACCTAGGACGCGGATGTAGTTTATCGTAATATCCAGGTTTGATCTGTGGTATTAAAAATATATATATATATATATATATATATATATATATATATATATATATATATATATATATATAGCTAATGAGATTTCCTATGTGTCCAGCAATTAGGGACACCCTGTACATTATCAATTCAATATTTTATCGGTGAACTTGCGTATTGACTGCCGGGGTGGCAGACACATGTTCATATCTGGTTGCCATAAGCCGTTATCTTCTTTTGTGGTTTGAGATCCGGATAACAGAAGCATATTCAAGTGCCAGCTCGATAAGTCTACTGTAAAGGGCTTTTATTTTACCAAATTTGGAGCAAATTTGTCACATTGTATTATTTTTAGAATAGCTTGATGTAACCGTAAGTTCTATTCTAATAGTTTCATCTCTCGTACTTCCCTTCCAAATTCTTGCGTCGCTGTTACCTACAATCTTCAAAATCTTAAATACAACTCGATTCGCCATCTTATTTCTTTCTAAAACCTGTCTTTTTATTGTCCTTTCTCCTCACTAAAATCTTTCTCTTTCTCATCCACACCAAGTAGCCACCTTGTGTCTTAGTCCCGGTATCGCCTTGGTGTGAAAAGAAAAGAATCGTAAATCAACGGTTAATCATACTTGTTCTTTAATTATCCGTCTTGACGATTTCAGAAATAGCCGATCTTTGGCAGAAATCATGTGAAACTAGAATATCTAATCACATATATAGGTGTACTAGTATATTGACTGAAGAGGTGACAGCTTCATATCGCCTGTAGCTAAACTGGGGCACATTTCCTAGGGTTATTGTGTTAAGTCTATATCATTCTGTAGTTTGGTCTCCAAATAACAGCCCGTATTCGATTCTTGGTTGAAAAAGATTAAAGAGCTTTTACGTTTTGGGGAAGTAAGATTCGTAAATCAACGGTTAATCATGCCTTTTCTTTAATTAGCCGTCTTGATTTCAGAAATAGCCGGTCTTTGAGAGAAATCATGTGAAACTACCATATACAATCTGTTCATTCAAGGTAAAATCCATAATCAGGTTATTAGTACATTTTTCTTTGTGTCTTGATCTTTATATTTGAAGTCCGAGGAGCTGCATTCGCTGGTTCCCAGAGTTCATTAGTTCAAGCGCCCTACGCGGGTGGCATCCCGTTCTCACCCTTTCACTGTCGAAACTACTAAATGTAGCCGTCTCTTCTACTCCAATAGCTTCATGTCTCGCAGCTCTCACCTTCCCTATTCCAGTTTCCCTGAGAGCCATAATCTCCAACTATTCAAATCTAATGTCAATCGACATCTCCAGTTGCCTTGATCTATCCACTATCCTTCTCCTCATCCTTTCCTCTATCACTCCTATCTGATTTTGCTCCAAATCTTCTGTAACCCCTTGCGTCCTAGTGGCTTCCCACCTTGCTTGGGGTGAAACGCTTAAAAAAAATGTAATTTTATATATATAGTCTTTTACGACCATCCAAGCTATTCTGCAAGTTTCTTGAGCATTAGAGGTCATATTCTTTGGATCTTGTGCTTGAAAAGGTCGTAATTGCTAACTCTTCAAATTCTTAGATTTATTTAAAGGACCAACAGTTATAAACCATGTAGTCAGTTAATGTCACTTTTCCTTTTACTTACGTATTGGTTAAATAAACGTAAAGGTTTCTTTTTTACCTTTTGGGATAAAAACTCGTGAAGCAGCATTTAATCCTATCTCTTCTTTAATTAGTCTTCTTGACGATTTCAGAATTATGCAGTCTTCGATATAAATCACGTGGAACTATAATATCAAAATTCTTTGTTCTTTTACTTTAATTTGCCAAACGCCAACTAGTGCGCATGCGTATATAACTTTTCTATGTTCGCTTAATCAGGAGACAGATGATACAATTCTTTCAACACAGACAATGGATTCTATTGCATTTTCGCTTAGTTATAAACAGTAACAAATCTATTTTTTGTGAAATGACTTTGTAGTGGAAATATTTTTTTTAAATATACCTATTTTTAGTCCTGTTGTTTATTCTTGCCTATCGCATCTAGTCATCCCTAACGATTAACCAATCAAGAGCCTTTTACAGTAGCTAGCTTAAATGCCGTCCGAAATCTGTTCATTTACTTATCCAAGGTAAACTCCATAATCGGGGTATTACTACATTTTTCTTTGTTTCTTGATATTTATATTTGAAGTATATTTAATTTAATCTGTATAGTGATTTTCGAAGATCCAGGCTCTTCTGCAAGTTTCTTGAGAACTAGAGGTCAGATTCCTTTGTTCTTGTGTTTGAAAAGGTCGTGATTGATAACTGACGCACATCGCTTTCTTAGATTTTTTTCTAAGAACAAATCATCTCACTTGAAATACTTAAAACAGTTGTGAACACCACAGTCTGTGTTACTTTTTCTTTTACTTACCAAATTCTGTGAGCAGGTTTAGTGTCTTTGAGGCCCATATTAAATAACGACTGAAAATTGCTTGATACCTAATACTTGAATCCGACATTATAACGTCTGAGACCGGATAAACAACGCAGTTGTATTTTAAAAAAAAAATCACTTAGAATGTGGAGTGTTTAAATACAAAACCAAATTGTTCTATCTATTTAACAAGTAGCAAGTCAATTACTTTAAGATTAGTGAAGTAGTCTTCTGAATAACCTCATTAATTAACTACAATGGATTTCTGATTTAGTCATAAAATGTGAATGAAATACAAGCACATGACCGTAAAATAAAGCCTGTCAGTAATAACCGCTGTAAGAGTATAAACCTCTCCTTGAAGGGATTTGGAATACGTTTATTTATCATCTCTCAGTTGCGTCTCTGTCTTTGGGGAGAGTGCATTCAGAGGTGACTCCGTCAAAGGACAGATTGGCAACTGAGAAAAATTATACTAAGAGGTGCACAGCCCTGGCGTACAGCTGCCCGAGGCCGAGCCCTCTCATTGCACCAGACAGAGGGATTGGTGCTCGAGCCGAGGTCAGACCAACCAGCGGTTGCGGGGGCTGCGGAAATATTTTCTTCCCAGTCCGGGTGTACAAGCTCGGGATCCTACCTTTAAAAAGACCTTGTGTCACAACTCTTCTTAGTGGGGAGACAGAGTAAATAACCTGTAATAACTGCTGTATAAATGTATGCAAAAATCACAGTAACATTTTTTTTTATTGTATTGAACATGATTCGTCCGTTCATTGAATATTGCCGGCATATCGTCTAATGGTCCGTCTGTATACTAGAGAAAATAAAACTAAGAAGTATTTGACGTGAAAATCTCGACTACAGTCACTTTCAGACTTCCGTGATGTGGCTTCCGTCCCTATTTTCTATAAACAATTATTTCCGGTAATCCTTTGCTTAAGCGGTGTAAAATAAAATGCTATTTCCGGAACAATGTACAAGCAATAAGATCAAAATATATAAGCTTATTAAAATGAGACAGCAAATAAACGCTGAAAAAAGGGGCTTCTTTTTGTACCTCAGGATCCACAAAGATCCTCTGCTTGATTTTCTAGATTCCAGCAAGAGCAGAACAGCCATCTAAAAAAATATGGCTTCCAGGCTGAATACACAGCACAGTCGCCTCCTTCAGAATCAATACTCGCTGATCCAGCACTTCAACTAGGCGACAAAATCTCAAATCCCGCTCGATCCCATCAAATATCCAGGACACTAATGGTTACAGTAATATTAATGATTAAAACACATTTATAAAATAAAATGACAGTTTATTGTATATCGTTTAAGTAAAGCAGAATATTGACAGTTTAGTTTACGACCGACATTTATATGAAGGATTTTCAGGGTACAGATATAGAGACAACTATAGAGATATATATGAATAGACTGAATTAGCTACCTATCACAATAGATTATTATATAGGAATAAACTGGTATATAGATAACCATGAATAGCGAGATAAATAAAAAGAGACTGGGGAAAATATTGAGATAGATATATATGGACAGATTGAGATAGATAGATAGTAGATAGATAGACAGATAGATAGATATTAACAGACTAAGGTAGATAGATACATTGATAGATAGGTATGAACAGATATAAATAGGTAGATAGGTATGAACAGATAGGTAGATAGTGAATAAACTAAGATATAAACAAAGATAGATAGATAGAAACACAGATTGATAGATACTAGCTGGCTGATTTAGATAAATAGGAAAAAATTGATATAGATAGAGTGATAGATAGATATATCTTAACAGAATAAGAGAGATATATCGATAGATATGTACGAACAGACAGAAACAGGTAGACAGATACGAACAGACTAAGATAGGTAGATAGTGAACAACAAAGAAATAAACAGAAAAAGATAGATAGATAAATAAATAGATAGATAGATAGATAGATAACATTTACTCACTTTCGTTTATTGGACATTCCGATTATTAGACATCATTTATTGGACATCACTTTGCTTCATGCTTGACACTGACTTTTACTTCTCCTGATGAATATTTATGTACGTTCGTAAATTTTAAAATTCTTAAAAACTAACGTCATTTCATTTGTTGCAAAACAAAATACTTACATTTGGCTTGATAAAATATGAGACATGTTAGTTTGACATACGTTTCCTATTTGTTCATTTATTTTATCATATATATATATATATATATATATATATATATATATATATATATATATATATATGAACACACACACAAATATATATACAGTGCTGTTCTTTAAAATTGACTCACCTGATTTTTTTTAATTAAAAATCTTTCGCCTATTGTTTTTGGGGTGAAACTAATTTTTAATCTTCCTAATATAATGATCCCTTCCCGGCCACCTAGTAAAAAAGTTTACTCACTCTAAGGTATTGTTTTGATAATTATAATTTTGGATATAAATGAGATTTAGGGAAAAACGTGACTCACTTATTTCCTGCAACTATTAATCAATAGAAACATAACCGAACAGCTTTAAATAAAGAATAATATAGGTATAAACTATTTATAATAGGTAGTATAGTTCGAAATATTTAATAATCTATGGGTCCTCCTTTATTTTGAATAACCTTTTCAATCCTTTTTGGGATTGACTTGATTAGGTTCTGGCAAATCTCATCTCCAAGCATTGAATTTTATTCTGTTATGAAATTCACAATCAAATCCCCTTTGTTGCTCAACTGCTTTCTCGAGAGCCTTTACTTTATAATGCTCCGTAAGTTTTCTATGGCGTTGAGGTCAGGAGATTGGGGCGGCCATGTCATAACACTCACCTGCTTCTCATCAAAGTATCCTTTCATCAATTTTGATTTCTGACAGGGAACATTATCCTGAGCTTGGTGGGGTCGATTTGCACCCTTTCAGCAGAAGGGAGCAGACAAAACTCTAAAATTCTCATGTACTGCTCACTCCTGAGGGTCTTTTCAATAGGTTTTAAGAAACCATTTTCATGAAAAGAAAAGCATCTTCAGAACATTAGACTGAACGGATGCTTGACAGTACTTACTGCTAAATTCAAAGAGCTTTCAAAGATTCTTCGGATTTTAGATCGCTTATCCTTTGAATTTAGCTCAACTTTCGTTTCATCGGAGAAGAGAACATTTAGTAAAAAAAATCAGGTGAGTCACTTCCATCGAACAGCACTATATATATATATATATATATATATATATATATATATAGATAGATAGATAGATAGATATGTATCTTAAAATTAAGTGAAGCCTGAGATAATAGTAAAAAGTCTTTTTTCCAGATAATCAAGAAATCTTAAACTACTTATTCATTAAGAAAATCTTTTATTCATCGAATTACAGTAGCTTTCAATTTTTTTATCAATCTGAAATAAAAATATTAATTCAAAATTAAGATGCAGAAAACTAAGTGAACCCTTCCATTTAATATTTGGTGGCTTCTTCCTTTGAGTTCAGGTAGTGTTTTTTCTAGAAAAAAGAAGTTTCTGGCAGTAATGAGCGTCAAACTTTTACCATTCTTCTTGGCAAAAACTTGCACAATTGTTTCACGTTACCTAATTTTCCTGTGTGAACTCTTTCTTTAATTTGATCCGCAGATTTTACTTTGGGTTTTGATCAATACTTTGACTAGGACGTTCCAAGAGTTGGAATTTCTTTTTTCGAAGCCATGCTTGTCTTGATTTGCTTTGCTGTTTCAGATCATTGTCCTGTTGGAAGATCTCGCCCCGATCTAAACCTAACTTTCAAACAGAGGGCAAGACACGTTCGTTCAAAATTGCTTGGTATCTTGCAATGTTCATTGTGCTGCAGTAAAACACCTCCCAATCATAATGCTACCGACGCCATGTTTAACTGTTGGCACTAAATGCCTCTCTTCAAAAACTGTATTACGTGCTCCCAGAAAACTCTAGTTTGGTCTCATCCGATCATAAAACATTTTTGCCAGAATATTTCTAGCTTATTAATATGATTAATTGTTGCAGAAGGAAAAAGATATGTCGGCTCTAAGAAAACAAGCAAATGTCATGCTATACTCGGAAAAAGTCTCCTTAGTTCTGGTGGCATCTGGGAGGTATCTGCAGACCTTCCTGGTTGGTGTAATGATTACCCAAAATTAATATCAAGTAAAGGTCTGCGACCAGATATTGTTCTTTTGTCAAGGGTGAACTATAAAATCATCATGATTGAATTAACAGTACCATATGAATGCCGGATGGAACAAAGCCACGATTATAAAACTAATAAATATGAAAATCTAAAGTCAGAGCTAATAGAGGAGGGGTATAATGCAATTGTTAGAGCAGTGAAAATTGGAGCAAGGGGTTTCGTTTCAGGCACTCTGTACCAATTTCTGGGCCAAATTGGAATCAAAGGGCGTAATAGAGCCAAGAGTATAAAAGGCCTAATAGAAGTAACAGAAAATAGTTCTATGTGGATATGGAAAAAACGAAATACTCCGTGGAGTGTTTCAGCGAACATGACGGCATGACATGACTGATCGTGAATGCGTAATGAGGTTCACGTTGCATTCTCAGAACGCGAGGTTTGCGGTTTTTCGGAATTTTCGTAAATTTAATTTCGCCGTTACACATTTGAACTAGTTTATCTACAACACTTGTATATCGTTATAATGGCGCCTCACATCAGTGAGCGGGGGCGGTGTGCAACTGAAACCGTAGGGAGGAAGGCCCCGAAACGGTGCACATTCTCTCCTGATGAGCCCAGTTTAAAATTCGAGAGGAACACATCAAATTCAGTGAAGTCATATACCGTAGTGAAGCTCGGTGGAAGTGTCATTGGCAGGAGGAGCATTATACACTCAGCTCGCTTCAGGTGAGTTTCAATTACATTCCAGTAATTTCCTTCTTGAGCTAGGCATAGTTAAACGGAGCTTGCTTTCACTTTTTCGAAAGCAGTGGCTTTTTTCTACACATTCTCCTATGAAGAAAAGCATCGTTCAGATTTTGTCACACTATAGATGTATGCACATTAATTCGGACATTGGCTGAAGGGTCTTTTACCCTAGAACACGAACCATCAGGTAAAGTGACACCACTACTAACCATGGGTATATCATACCCGACTTTGAAAATATCAAAAAAATAATCTTTATTTGAAATATTTTACATGCAGGCACTTCAAACTTTGTACTTTGAGTTAACATTAATAGGAACTGAAAAACATATTATTTAGGTAAGAAAATCAGGTACTGAAAATTGTAATTAAAAATAGGAACATTTGCGCCGGGTACTATATACCTATGGTTAGTGTTCTAGGGTTTAGAACCACAGTGGTCAATGCATTTATTTTTCTTCTTGATTGCGATGCCATCATATCAAAGGTCTTCCATTTATAAATAGAATTTTTAAGAAGTTTCTGCCAATAGTGAGCGTCAATTTTATACCTTTCGTCTTGGCAAAACTCTCCAAATTGCTCGATATTACTCGGGTTCCATGTACTTCCTTCTTTAACTCGAATCACAAATTTTTAATTGGATTTAGATCAGGACATTGACTTGGTTATTCCAAGACATGGAATTTTTTCCAACCCAATATTCTGTGGAATTGCTTTAAAAGATTTGGATCATTGTCCTGTTGGAAAATCCAGCCCCAACCTAAACCCACCTTTCGATACAAGGGCAAGACACTTTAGTTCAAAATTGCTTGGTATCTTTCAGGTTATACTGTGCCGTCAATGCGTATTATTTTTTCTGTTCCATCTTTCCTCATCCCAATTCTGCCAATTCTTTATTCAAGATAGGTAGATTATTCACTCTGTTTCACTGTAATCGAGAAATATGACTATCAATTCCTAATATCCCCGGAAGAGTGAACGGATGCAATCAAGAAGAAAAATAAATGCATTGACCACTGTGGTTCATAAAGACTCCTTAGCCAATGTCGGAGTGAGGGTCACATTTTTTAAGCACACTTTCCTCGTTATGCACCTTAATTAATTTCATCAGTCCTTTTGTAATGCTAAATATAAGTGCAATTTTTCTTTCTATTTTCTTAAGAACTTCGGTATTCTCAGTATCCTTCTGTAGAACCATATATTCGCTCTCTCAAGCCTCACCTTCAGCTGTGATATGCTTGTCTCTGACTATGTTGTAGAGTGGTTTCACAGTGGAGGCTTGTATTTGTACTAAGTCGGTCCTAAAATAGGTTCGACGTACAAAACGTTAGGAACTTCCTATAATAGGTAATGACGCGGTTGTGGTCGCTGATACTTTAGTATCCGACCAACGGTTGTCCGGCATCGACTAGTATTTAGTCACCCCCGCCCCACGAGGGCATCATGTGACAAGGTAGGTTATTTAATGTGGGTTCTCCGAGCCCGTGGGCTCGGCCCCAAAATATGCCCATTCAACCCGTATAAACGTGCTCAGGGCCGGTTTACCTCTCCGAACGAGACTCCGCCCCTCGGCATAGCCTCGTTCGAGTTCCGCTCCGCCCGAAGGCAGAGAGTTCAACCGATCAGGCAGTCGACTGACTGACCAACTCACTGAGCGACTTCTACTTATTACAGATGGAAGAGCCTATTAACTATAGAATAGGTGTGTTCCACTATAACAGATTAAATTTTCGAACATTCACTACCATGTAGGACGACCCATGTTCCATAACATTTCAGTACACTTTTCCTTTTCTAAAGATATTTTCTAGTTTCTTAATACTTTGCTTAGGTTTTGGAAAGCTTCTTTTGCTATTCCTATGTACCTTCGGATTTCAGTCTTACATTTCCCATACCCTGTTAAAACACATCCTAGATATTTAAAGTGTGGTACTTGCTTGATTTAATGTTTTCCAGATTCTCTCAATTCTTCCACCTCATCCTACTACCAATAATAATGTTCTGAAGACGTAGATATACTAGAAATATATACTCTTGAATAAGCGAAAAAGTAAATACCTTTGTTACTCTATAACTGAACCAGCATAAAAATGAAAAAATAAAAAAGATCAATCTATTTACGTATACTAGTTCTTTGAGTAATTTATTTCATTCGATGGCAATCAGATTTTCATTGATTCTACTTGTCGGCCCACAAGATCCTCGGTCCCGAGGGGCGCGACAAGACAGAATGCATTTAATAACCTGCAATCTTAGGAAAATAATCTTCGCCATGGATAATCCATCAAATGCGGCGATTCTGCCGCTGGTGGCGGTGGTGCTGCAGCTATTGTAGCCAGGCTTTCGCTGTTCTTCGATATATATATATATATATATATATATATATATATATATATATATAAAGGAAAAAAAAAAAAAAGAATGCGTGGTTAATAGACTTTCTCTACAGTCATCCATCTCAAATATAATGGAAAAAATAATATCATTATCATGAACACATACAACTAAACGCTCGCGCCCCACCCTTTACACACACACACATATATACATATATATATATATATATATATATATAGAGAGAGAGAGAGAGAGAGAGTAAGAAAGAATGAATACAAGTAAAAAAGTTTGTCACTTAGCTGATTGATGTTATACATATATCATTGATGTTATATATATATATATATATATATATATATATATAAATATACACACATATATATATATATATATATATATATATATATATGGCAAAAATGATATGTACAATTTATGTATCAAGCAGAATTTTAGGGAAAATCTAAGAAAAAAGGGTCAAAATATTTCATGAGGCGCGTTTCGTTGTAGTTCGCTGATGTCCTAAACGAAGAAAAACACCACACAAAAACATTTCCTCAACACACACACACACACACACACACACACACATATATATATATATATGTTGTGGATTCCGAGATGAAATTTGGTCTCCAATGAATGACAAAAGCAAGAAATAAAGATAAGAAATTAAAAGTAGTTACACAATAATACAAAGGTTAATACTGTTAGTAAATCCAGGAACGTAGCAATAACATATAGATATATAAAGTCTCGAAGTAGGACTTCCTTAGAGTCTACGTGCTTGTACTGACTTCTACAAGCGGTTACCTCACACTATTACTCTACCTCCAACTCAATCCCATTCTTAGTCTTCTTACTATCTCTCTATTCTGACTGACTCTGGGTATTTAACGGCAGCAGTCCAAGTAACACTTTGGTCGAGTCCACTTATATAAAAAATGGGTGGATCCATAATATATATATATATATATATATATATATATATATATATATATATATATATATATATATATATATGTATATAAAAGCTTTCCTGTAAAGCTTTTCCTCACTTAGGACATCATCGGACTAGGTTTGTTTACCTGTAGTCGCATCAATATAAACTAACCTTGTGCGATGAGATCCTAAGTCGGTGCCAAGAATAATTCTGCTATATTTGGTCTGGTGCTAGTAATATATCTGGAGATTTTTTTGACAAAATTCTAAGAAGAGGCTGTAATATCATCGATCCTGACCTGACATATTGTTTTCAGTCTCTTTCTCCCCTCTATCATTTCTTTTTTCATGCCAACTGCTCCGATGAGCTTTCCTCTTTGGTTCCCGTAATCGTAGTGAATGTAAGCTTGCTACTAGATTGTCATCTACGTTTCGCCATTTTCCTGTTGAAATAGCTTCACCTTTACTGTTGAAAGTAAATGGCCTGATGCAACCTTATTTTTTACTCTAAGAGTTTCTTCTTTCGAACTTCTCGTCCATGAATCTCCATTTTCATTTCGTGCTTCCCTGCCACACGCAATCTTCTAAAATTTAATTGCAAAGCCTATTGCCATCTTTTGTATTCCTGAATATTATTCTTTTGTTCTTTCTCCTCATATTCTCTTTCACTCCCAGTATTGCCTTTCTTGGGGTGTAATTAATAAAATTATATATCTATACAAACACTTAAAAAACCGTGTGTGATATTTTATTTCATTGAAATCAATAAAATATGACTTCAAATCTTCAGTCCTTTAAGCCAAATGAAGATGGAAAAATCTAAGTTTATAAATTAAGAATAGTAATTTCATATAGAGAGTAGGGGAAAGAAAGTTATTATCGTGTAGGAAGTGAGGAAAACAAAATGGCCTGTCGGGATTACTTACCCAAATTTATTACACACACACACACACACACACACACACACACACACACACACATATATATATATATATATATATATATATATATATATATATATATATATATATATATAATGACATGTCTCATTAAATAATTTAGGCAGGTTTAGTCTCTTTATTTTTCATAGGGTCTTCACATAATTCGAGACAAGTTTCTTAAAATCCTTATTAAATAAAGAAAGAAAACTACCATGTCAATGCATATTCATTTTCTTCCGAGTACTTTCGTCATTAGCACAATTTCGTCATCACGGTCGTTTTTTCGAAGACAAAAAACAATAACACAAAAATTTTCTCTCAGAAAAATGACAAATGCATCATTTTTTTTGTTTATTCAGCTCGTTCTTTTCCTAATCGAACATTATCCTTACCTCATATCTATCTATCTATCTATCTATCTATCTATCTATCTATATCTATCTATCTCAGCCTCTTCATATCTCTATCTATCTATTTATCGATCTCTATCTATCTATCGGAATCTCTTTATATCTATCTATCTCAGCCTCTTCATCTCTCTCTCTTTCTTTTTCTCTCTCTCTCTCTCTATCTATCTATCTATCGCTATCTCGTTATATCTATGTATCGCAATATCTATCTATCTATCTATCGCAATATCTTTAGATCTATCTATCTCAGCCTCTTCATATTATCTATCTATCTATCTATCTATCTATCTATCTATCTATCTATCTATCTATCTCAGCCTCTTCATATCTATCGCAATCTCTTTAGATCTATCTATAAAGGTAGAAGACAATGGGAAAACTGTTTCGTCCAATGTGGACTTTTTCAAGGCAAAATCAAAATGAATCTGTTGAAAACAAAGTAACCACAAACAAGAAAAAATCTCCTTAGCAATTAGAAGAATTTTAGAAAACGCTATTGTATTCATATTGTCAACTGAAAGTTATATCAAGTACTTTCACTTGTAGAAATATTTGTTTTTTATTGTTGCGTTGACGGATTCAACCATTTTCTTTTGATTTCTTGATACAGTTCTGTACATTGGCTTGGGAGAGTAGTAATTCTGCTAGGAAAGGTGATATCTATCTATCTATCTATCTATCTATCTATCTATCTATCTATCTATCTATCTATCTTATTCAATTTATAACTATTTGTATATCATCTTATCTATCTTTTAACAGAGAGCACCCAATTCGCTCTGTCCATATCTAATGGAAACATAATCATACGTCCCTTGTCCAGAAATATCCCAATGCCTGTGGTTATTATAAGTGAATGAAGAGAGAATATTCTATCCAAATGTTTTTCGTTTGCTCGGAAAGATTAACACATGAAAAATACGGCGATGTTATCATCACTAATGCACCTTTCATATATTTACGCTGCGATTTCAATATCTAGGCTTGAAGCTTTGATAATAGATCCACGAATAGATTTCGAGAAATAGATTTCCCCCCTGCAACAGGGGATTCACAAAAAGCCTTGTCGTTCCTTATCCTATCAGTCCATTTGTTTCAAATCGACTGCTGTAGTTCGGAAACATTTTTGCTAAATGAAACGTTCAAAAATACACATGCAATGAGTGTAGTTTGGTTTAATTGAATTATGTCACCCGATAGCAATAGTTCTTTCTTTCTACAAGGTTTTAATTATTTACATTGTTCTAACTGATGCCCTCATCATTATTGTAATGATCAGGTCGTTTCGGCCGTTGTACGCTACTTCTTCGGTTCATTGGAATTGAACCCTTTATTCCATTTACCGGGATAGATTGTTCTATTTTCACGTGCTATGTCTCTTCTGGATTTCTCAGTTATCTCTCTTTAATCTAACTCTCAATGTTTTTGTCCACCACTACCTTAGCCATGTCATCCTGGGTATGACGATAAACTACATCCGCGTGCTGGGTAAGACGATAAACATCATCCGACAGCAAGGCCTCTGATCAGGAGGTTCTGAGGAACGTGGAACCACCTCTTAATTGCTGGTGTTTCCAGGTCCATCCTGACCCGGGGTGGTAGCACCTGTTAGGGTTCCAGCTATGGGCAAATATTTAAACCTGAAACTGGTGTAAAAAACGATATGAAAGTGTAAAAATACTAGAAATACTTTAATACTAGAAATACTTTGTAAAAAATTATTTCCATCAATAAATGGTTGAACAAACAAACTATTACTAGTAATATATTTTTGGGAAAAAAATATTTCCAGAAATACATTTTTGAAAAAAAAATATTACCAGCTATACATTTTTCAGGAAAAAATATTACCAGCAGTAGTTTTTGAAAAAAATATTATTACTAGCAACATATTTTTGAAAAAAATATTACCAGAAATAGACTTTTGATAAAACAAAATATTACCAGCAATAAAAATTTTGTCGGTATAATATTGAGGTTGATATACAGTAAAACAAATCAAACCAAGCCGTAGCCAGGTATTGAACTCACAATTCTTTGGATGAAGTCAATGAAGCCAACCAAAGATTTTATCCACTGGCTATGTCTCGTTGAAGCGTGTTAATTATTGGGAAGTATATGATTAATGCGTCAGTTTTCGTTTTTTTAGCTGAGCTCATATTGCAATTTTGCAGTTATCATTGCTTTCATCTAGCACTTCGCATTACTGGATCCCATATTATATTCATTTCTATGCTTGGCCGGCTTATGAGATTTTAATGCATAACATATATGCTGATTCCTTAAGTTTTCGTATTTTCCATTGATGTTCTCTGTCTATTATTTCAGCCTCATCCCACAAGGGAAGGTGATCTACCTTTATCTCTCCATATGTGATCAGTTACGCCAGATTTTCCTATTTGCCCCCGTGTTACGGCTTTTTGATTTTCTTGCAGTCTTACCGAAACATTCGTAAACATGACAATAAAGATAAAGACATCAGTTTGAACAATGTAAATAATGTAAATAATTACAATACCTCATCTCAGAAATATAAACAAATATTGAAGGTTTTAATTCTTTGGATAGTGGCGTTTTGTCCCTTGAAATTTTTTTTTTATACAGAGCTATAAGACCTTATAATAAAGGTTTTGTACAGACCATTATGACCCTAAATGTATGATTTTTATACAGAAATTTAGGACCCAAAACGAATGTCTTTTATACAGAGCTTGAAAACACTAAAAATTAGGTTTTATACTACACAGTAATACCCTAAAGGAATGGCTTTTATACAGAACTTAAAACTCTCAAAGAATGTATTGTTACTGCGCTTTAAGACCCTAAATAGTTTTTGTGCATAAAAGGTTTTTTATACAGAGTTTTAAGACCCTAAAAGAATGTTTTATACAGAGCTTTACGACACTGAAAGAATGTTCTTTTATACAGAGATTTAAGATTTCAAAAATAATTTTTTATACAGAGCTTTAAGACCCTAAAACATTCGTTTTTATACAGAGTTTAAAGACGCTCAAATATTTTTTATACAAACCTTATATGCATAAAGTATGTTTTGTACAGAGCGATAAGATCATAAAATGTTTTTACACAGAGTTTTAAGACCATAAAAGAATAGTTTTTATACAGAACTTTAAGACTCTAAAAGAATGTTTTTATACATAGCTTGAAGATCCTAAAAATGTATTTTATAGTTTTAAGACACAAAAATATATTTTATACAGAGCTTTAAGGCCCTAAATGATTGTTTTTATGCCCAGCTTTAAGACACTTTAAGAATGTTTATATACAGCGCTTAAGACCCTAAAAGTAGGTTTTTATCCAGAGATTTAATACCCTAACAGGTTGTTTTTATACAGATAATTAAAACCCTAAAATAAAATTTTATAGAGTGCTTAAGACACCAAATGCATGTTTTTATACAGAGCTTTAAGACACAAAAATGTGTTTTTTTTGTGCAGATCGTTATGACCCTAAACATTTTTTATACAGTGTCTTAAGGCCCTAAAGGTGCTTTATTATACAGAGCTTTAAGAAGATAAAATATTTTTATACGGAGCTTTCAGAGCTCAAAATTATTGGTTTTATACTGAACTTTAAGACACTAAAGGCATGGTTTCTATACAGAGTTTTATTATCCAAAAAGAATATCTTTATACAGAGCTTTAAATTCCTAAACATACTCTTTATACAGTGCTTTAAGACCCTAAAAGAATATTTTTATACAGAACTTTAAGCCCCTAAATAAACGTTCTTATACAGTTTTTATATGATATTTTTATACAGTGATTTCAGTCCAGAAAGAATGCTTTTCATACGAAGATTTGAAATCCTAAATACATAGCTTTAAGAGCCTAAAGGAATATTTTTATACGAAGCTTTTATATAAAGACCCTAAAAGAATAGTGTGTCACCATTTAACGAGGCAGAAAAAGAAAAGAAAGAAAAGGAGAGGCTAAGGACCGAATCGTGGCTGATAAGCAGAACGCACACACGGCTAAGAGTCAATGGATAAAGGGATATTTTGATAAGTAACAAATGGCGAAAGAGTGTCATTACAATGACAGGGAAATTCTGAGTAAAAAGAAAGGGAAAGAAAGAAAGAATCAGATATGTTTTGGCGACGGCTGTGTTATCTAAGGATATGAAAACAAACTATTGGTACGGGAAGGCATCTTATTATCAAGACCGACTGGCCAAAGAAAAATTCAAATGAAAATGTTATTTCGATAAGTGACGAAAAAACAGGCAACTAAAAGGACTTTTGACAGATATGATAAAAAATTAATTGTATCAAAGCCATCCACTGACCGAATTCTTTCGACGGAACAACTTTATGCCTGCGAAAATAAAATTATGTTATCAAGAAATGTTCGCCGAAAGAATGAATGGGGATTTAGAAATGTCTTTTCGGGGCGACGTTGGATTCGGATAATTAGCGATAAAAAATACCTGACGAAAACCATTAGAACAAGAGTTATGACCGCGATTGTTCATATTGTCCCGTTTGCGGCTAGAGAAATGATAACGGCGATTAAGAGGAAGAAAAGGAAAAGAAGGATAATTTTTTTTAGTTAAGCAAGATATTTTTCTTCCCGAAACAAAAGCCGCAGATTCGTCCACGCCCGACTAAGACATCATTGGTCAAGTGGGAAGAAATGTGAGCACGAAGGAGGAAAGATTTTTTTTTTTAGTTAAGCAAGATATTTTTTTTTCCGAAACAAAGCCGCGGATTCGTCCACGCCCGACTAAGACATCATTGGTCAAGTGGTGATCACGTGACGCACGAAGGAGGCTGTCGCCGCCTATCCAGAGTGTAGGTATGAGAAGCTGCTACGAAGAAGTGGGGAGGGCAGTTCACGCCCTCTGAAGTATGGTGAGAAGGTGGGAGGAGGAAAGTTTCCAAAAATGGAAAAAGTGGAAATTCCTAAAAAATAAAAGAGGTGGATATGTATTTAGAATTATCGAGGAAACCCCGACGCCGACAGATCCACCCCGGTTTTAGTCGGCGTCCATATAAGCGAATCTACAACGAGCAGAAATCAGTTCGAGTTGAGTTCCAGTGAGTTCAGTTCCAGAAAAGTTTGAGCTGAGTCTGCAGTTGAAGCCGCCTCTCAGATAGTTGACCAAGATTCACGCAAATTCCGGACTCCTCTTCAACCCAAGAACAATTATTTTGAAGAGCGACTTAGATCCAGACCACCGAAATAAGTTTTTTTTTCGACTTTCGTCCGAAGACACACCGAAAAACCAATTTCTTAGAGAGCAAACAACTTGAAGCGTTAAAACTCGCCTAACGGAAAACGACGTGTCACAATCCATAGAACGGGTCGGGAGATAGATGCAGTCCTATGTATCGAACAACTAGACATAAAGTTTGTTACCTTTTTCTTTGATACTTTGAACTTTTGAGTTTTCATTTTATTTTCTTTTATGCATATTTGTGTGGTATCACCCCCGTTGAACTCGGTTTGCATTACGGCCCCAACCACTGTTTGATCTCGTCTGCCTAAGATCAATTCACAACGTGGGTAGGCAGACTGGAGATCAATGCAGTTACCTTTGGTAACCAGGCGTTGGAAGCGAGTTGGGAACGACGAGGCTGATATCAAATCTAACCAGATTCCCACCCGAATCACCAAAAGGTTAGAACGTCACATTTGGGTGCCGCGACCGATACCAAGCCAGTTGGTCGTCACAGGACGAGACAACACGACTGACGCGACAGGCGGACTTCACGTTTGGAGCAGCGACACCCGAACGGAGCAGCGAGGAGCGAACAGCTGGCGCCGCGGC